GAGCCTCCGGAAAAGGGCGCTTTTTCCGGAGGATCGGGGCCAGTCTAGACGCTCTTTTCCGGCTTTTTTAAAAGCCGGAAAAAAGCGGCGGACATTTTTATTTAAATGCCGCGGGGGATATTTAAATCCCCCGCGGATTTCCCTACGACGACTAGTGAAATTTACATGCCCCTTCCGGAAGAGGGGCCAGTGTAGACGTAGCCACAGTGTTTAAATCTTACGGAAAAAAACACAGGTAGTGTCTGTCAAGAGCTCTACAAAGGGCCTTTTGCCCAGCGATGGGAAAGCAGAGATCAAATTTGCACTGAATGGGAATACAACAACAGCCATGGCACAGTCAAAGAACCAACTGTTAAATGGAGAACCAACTGCTACTTTACAGGGCCATGGACCCCACTGTCAGAGGGGGCATGTTTGGGAAATGACAGATCAGCTGCTTGACTGCTTTAGAAGAAGAAAACAATGGTACACAGACAGACAGACAGACAGAGTAGGCTTCTCGTATTATTAATGAGCGCACTATGCACTCATGCAGCATTTTTTAATCTTGAAAGAGCTTTACAAACACCATGGGCCAGCTAAACTGAAGTCAATGGGGCTACTTGAGTAATCCAGCCCCTCACTAATTCATCCTTCTGCCTAACCCTAAGTTCTCCTGAGCTAGTTTCCAGAATACACGCCTAGATCATGTTGTATGTGCCCTGGCTCTCAACTGCACCTCTCTCTTTCACTGTTACACTTTTCCTCCTCTAGCCTCCTCCAGGCTGCAAGTCTTCCTGGCCCCTACAATTCCTGACATCTACCTTCAATCTGGCCCCACTGCTGGGTGATAATGAAGGGAGCGCACCAGCAGACAGTGCACAGCAGAGCCATCCCCATCCATAGGATGAATTGGGGCAGCTACCCCAGGCCTCCACTTTTGGGAGCCCTGCAGAGGCTGCCCCAAGAGGATGGAAGAGACCTGGAGGATTATGGGGACCTGGCATGTGGCGGCAGCAGGGGCTGCCTCCTCTTATCCCGGCATGCACCATGCTGGAAGTGGGAGCCATAATGGCCAGACAGCCTGCTGCATGCAGCTTCTTTGTGGCAGCGGAAGCAGAGCGCCTTGTCCCAGGGCACTCTGGCTCTGGCTGCTGCAGAGAAGTGAGGTGCAGTGGGCCGGTAGGGTCGTGCAGCAGGGCAGAGCTCTCACCATCCACATTATGAGAGTGGGGAGGTGAAACCTACTGCTGCCAGGCCCCTGTAATCCTCTGGGCTGCAGAGCACTGGCAGGGCTTGGGTAAGAAGTGAAGCAGGGTTGGGGACTGTGGGGGGACTGCCCTGGGCCCCGTGCCTGGGACACTGGGGAGGAGAGTTGTCCTGGGCCCTGTGTCCCCTCAGGGTGTCCCTGGTGCATAGCCACGTATGGCTACTCAAAAGAAAACCTGACAACTGCTAGCAGTAAAGGTGTCAAAGAACAAGAGCAACTTCTAGAGCTGCTTCCGGCCCAGTGATTTACTCTGTGTGTATAGAATCGCTGCACCAACCAGGGAATTTCAGTCTCTTCTCGCCATATCAGTTTTTTAACTGCCTGCCACAGCTGCACAACAGGTTGGGGCAGGAAGAAGAGATCAACAGCGTGTTCCATTTGGAGTGGGATTTAGGGAGGCTGAATCTAGCTAGGACATGGCAGGCCTGCAAACTCACACACTGACTGGGACCGGTGGCCCCTAGTGCTGTGCTGGGGCCCTGCATCCAGAGTTGGATCCCCTCTCCCCGCAGAGGATTGGGCCTCACTGCCCAGAGCTCCGCAGGGGTTCTCTAAAAATAGCTCTGTGGATAGTGCTTGGGAGCTGGGCTCTGACACCCACATCCATTGCTTGGGCTCCGGTCTGAGCCATGACTGCAGGCCCTGCAAGTCCAAATGTGTCCACCCAGGCTTGGAGACTCACTGCCACAGCTGTGTAGAGGAACACAGTGGCAGGGAACTTTGAAAGCCTTTATTTGTGTCAATATGTATCTGCTGACATTTTCAGCAGAAAAACATTTACCCAGAGGGTGTGGGGAGGTGGGAGCACCAGCTCTCATTTCCATCCCTTCTCCTGCTGCCTCTGTATAACAGGTGGGGGGTGCAGTCGGCTTGGAGGGAACCGATATGCGCGGGGAACCTGCTGAAAGCTGGCTTCCCGTGTGTACCCATTTCCACCTGCCTGTGCCCCGCGCTGCTGCCTCTGGAGCCAGTTTTTAAAGACAGCTCCCTGCAAACACCAGCTCCTGCCCCATCCCCTCTCCCCACTGCCTTTGGCTCACTGGTTAACTGTGTACTTGGCTACAGGCTCACATCCCTACCTTGAGGGCCTCTCCAAGCACTGGCCTTCTTTAACTTGTGAGAGCTGATCAAACACCAGCCCCAGGTCATATGGCTGCACCTGAAGCTGCCATGAGAAACCAAATGTGCTACCGAGAATCACAAAAACTAACTGCCTTCGCACAGATGGTACAGGAACGGGTCAGTTGGCCTCCAGCACGCCAGGCCAACATGGCATACATGCTTGTCGCACTGGTACTGTTGCTGGGGTCAGAACAACAGATGCTGCCTTTCAAGAATCCCCAGGTCATATGGCTGCACCTGAAGCTGCCATGAGAAACCAAATGTGCTACCGAGAATCACAAAAACTAACTGCCTTCGCACAGATGGTACAGGAACGGGTCAGTTGGCCTCCAGCACGCCAGGCCAACATGGCATACATGCTTGTCGCACTGGTACTGTTGCTGGGGTCAGAACAACAGATGCTGCCTTTCAAGAAAAAAAATGCCACCTAAGCCCCACAGACAGCATCATACTGTGAGGACCTGCAGCATAGTTGAGAGCCAGCGAGGGGTCTCGGGGTGAGAGTCCGCGCAGCATGTCCGCCCTCTGAGCCATGGCAGTGGCGGCAGCGTTCTGGTGCATCTGCTGGGAGGTGATGTAGTCGTTGATGTTGGTCTGTCTGTTCTCCATGGCGGCAGTGTCTGGATACCCTCGGGGATATGTTGGACTTGGAGCAAGGTGCCTGGGCAAGTAGTAAGCAGCAGCTAAAAGACAAGAATCAGGCAAGTCAGAATGGTCGTGTGAGAAGAGAGCAGAGTCTGACTCATGAAAACCGCAATGCCTGAGAGCATCAGCTGGGACGTGGGGTAATGTAGGAACAAGCCAAGGTCTGAATCAGTGAGTACTAGGAACTTTCAGACAGGGGAGACCCAGGACCTGCAACCAGAGGCATTAGTACAGTGGACATGTGGGTGGAGGAAGCAGGCTTTCTGCTGTCTCAGTGCCTTTATCAGACTACTGTGCCCAGGAACCTGATTTCACCTGAGTCAGAGAAGATCTCATCCCAGATGCAGCTTTAAGCCAGAGTTACTCAACAGTCTGGGCAGCCTTGCTGTAAAAGCCTGTTTCCACTGCTCACTGTGAATAGGGTTGTAAAATCCTGGTTAATCAATTAACCAGTTAAGTGTTAGGTTAACCTGACGTTTAACTGGTTAACTGATTAAGTGGGATCCAGGCAGCCCCTGCTCACAGAAGGTTGGGCTCCCTGTATCAGAGGCTACTGCGGACGCTGGAGTAGCCCCTGCTTATGGAGTGCCCACAGAACTTCTGCCTGTGGGGAACTCAGGCCTGCCAGGAACAGGGGTCATTTTGGAAGAGAGCAACCCCTGTCTGCAGTAGGCTTCCTGCAGGGCTGTAGCAGCCCTCTGCTTAGGGCAAGTGGGGAGCTCCTCCAGCCCCCATCAGTTACCAGTTAACCAGAATCAGTAAGCATCTCCCTTAACCAGTTAATCTTTCATATCCCTAGATATGAACTGGAATGTCACCAGCCAGCCAATGACTTGTTACATAGCTTAGAACAGAGAGGGTCCAATTCTGTTTTCAGCAACACTACCGTGGTTTCTCTGAACTTACACTACACTCACAGCAAATGGACCAAGGGTAGACTTTTTGCCTAGTAGGTATGTTAAAATTAGGTTATTTTCGTAATTGAGCAGTCAATATAATTTGTATTGACTACTCAACTGGGGAAGGCAGCCAGCTCAGTCCCGGTTCACGTTGGGACCAAATTCCATTGAAACTGGGCAATTTAAAACGCAGTAGGAGCTAGGGGGCAGGCATTTGATACAGTCTTGCAATAAACTAGGAAAATTCAGCTTAGATACTATAAGGTGGGTGCAGAACTGGCTGGATAACTGTTCTCAGGGAGTAGTTACTCATGGTTCACAATCCTGCTGGAAGGACATAACAATTGGGGTTCTGCAGGGGTATGTTTTGGGACTGGTTCTGTTCAATATCTTTATCAACAAATTAGATGATGGCATAGAGAGTACACTATACCAAGCTGGGAAGGTTTGCAAACTGCTTTGGAGGATAGGGTCATAATTCAAAATGGTCTGGACAAACTGGAGAAATGTCTGAGGTAAATAGGATGAAGTTTAATAAGGATAAATTCAAAGTACAGGCAGTCCCCAGGTTACATGGATCCGACTTACATCGGATCCCTACTTATAAACGGGGTGAGGCAACCCCGCACTAGCTGCGCTCCGCGTCTTCCTGGTCTGCTGCCCCCCCCAGCAGACCAGGGAGACGTGGAGTGAAAGGACTGAGGGAAGTGAGGTGTGGGAGAATAAAACTGAGCTCTGGAGAAATGTTTGGCTAGAGTTTCCCCTACAATATGTACCATCTCCAACTTACATACAAATTCAACTTAAGAACAAACCTACAGTCCCTATCTTGTACGTAACCCGGGGACTGCCTGTACTCCACTTAGGAAGTAACAATCCATTTCACACATACAGGATGGGAAGTGACTGTCTAGGAAGGAGTACTGCTGAAAACGATATAGGGGTCCTATGGGGGGGAGGGAGCGGAGGAGGGTGGCGAAAGGGGAAAGGAGACAGTGTTAGGGGAAACAGTTTTTAAGCTGGCTCCTCACAGCACTGTGTCCTGCTTCCAGGGGAGAGGGGTGGGGAAATGTGAGTAGTCAACTAATCAACTACAGGCAGTCCCCGGGTTACATACAAGATAGGGACTGTAGGTTTGTTCTTAAGTTGAATTTGTATGTAAGTTGGAGATGGTACATATTGTAGGGGAAACTCTAGCCAAACATTTCTCCAGAGCTCAGTTTTATTCTCCCACACCTCACTTCCCTCAGTCCTTTATTCTCAAGCTGAGGTGTCTGCTGAGAAAAGCCGCTCCACGTCTCCCTGGTCTGCTGGGGGGAAGCAGCTAGTGCGGGGTTGCCTCACCCCGTTTGTAAGTAGGGATC